TATAGATATTTTTATTTTTCTTTTGCAAAATCAGACAAACAAGAGTTTTGTGCCCTGACTGCGTTAATCATTGACTTGGATATATCAGTTACACGAAATTTAAGGATTTTATTACCAACTTTCTGATATTACTTAACTGACGAAAAAAATTGATTAGTTTAAATATTTACATAAGAACATAAATAATGAATTACTACTAATTTTATTTTTGAAATATCATTATGTATTTTTTAAATTTTCTCCATAAATCAACAAAAACTAAGGCATGATAATCAATGATTAAATACAAGACATACAAATATTTACAAATAATCAATTAAATGTCCACGCCATATTGTCTTTAATTAGACCTGCAAAAAAAATTAAAGAAATAAAAATCAGCTAAATTTTACAATATCCTACAATTTAATCACAATTTAAAATTAACATAAGAAAATCTCAAAATTTTACAAAATCCCATAATTTAATTAGAAATTTAAACTAACATAAGCAGAATCTGTAAGAATTGCATATCCCATGATGTAATCAGATTTAATTATATTCAACCAATCAACAATTATGTGCATGGAGTAATTTGGGAAATGTAATATTCTTAAATTGCAGTTACAGATTTCCAAAAGGCCTTCACATATTTGGGCGGCAGAAAATAAATATGAAAATAATCTAATATCTAACAAAAAGATGAACGAAAATCAGAATTTTATGGGATCATTATCCCATTAGTATTTAAAATTAAATGCGCCAATAAGTATAATTAGTCAAACAAAATTTCAGAAATTATGCAATCACATAAATGTGTTCCTAATTATGATTAAGCTTTTCAAAACCTTATATATATCAAGGTATTCACACAATCCCAACGCACTTCTTCCAAATCCAACATAAGCAAAAAATCCTTTATCCAAATTATTTTCTAACTAAGCAATGGCACCCATGTTTGACAATTTGACATTTTTGGCTAAAAACAAGAACAAGACTGCCATGCTTCGATTGGTCTGAAAATACCCTCGCTATTATTAGTCAAATACATCAACAATCAGTGGACATGAGTTCGTTTTTCATGATACTAAGGTCTGCATTTTTTTTTTTGTTTATTATCCCAATATTCTTTGACTATTTACAACATTTTTAGCCTGTTTTTAATTATGTTTTTTTTAGGGGCAGCGTGTACACGGCTGGGCACCCGGTTACTTGGCCCAACAGGTCCATAATTTTAATCTTATCGAAGGTTGGGTGTACAAGATAACAAATTTCGAACTTGAGCAAGACAAAAGTGCATTCAAGCTAACCAAATCAAGTCACAAGCTCACTTTCAACGAACAAACATCCATGTGCGAGATGGACGATGTCCAATGTTGATGTTTAATTTTAAGAAATTCAGCGACCTCTCGGATCCCCAAGCAATCGATTCAACTTTAGTTTTTGGTAATTTTTATATTTTTTGTAACATTTTCAAATTTTGGTAATCATACCCTATAATTATTATTAAGTTTTTTATTTTGTAGACATTATTGGGCGCATGGTTTTGTTTCAAAGCATAAGAACAACAACTTCGAAAGGAGTTGTTAAGAAGTTAATTGATATTGTTTTTGAGGACGTCGAGTAAGTTTAATCTTCATGGACTTTTCTTTTTTATTTAAGGTGAATATGCATATTTTATGCTAGAGATTATGTTGTCTTCTGTCCATTCTATAGGGGCTGCCAACAAGTTTGCACCCTATGAGACCGATATGCAGAAATCCTTCTAGATGCCTACAACAAATCATCTCCAACTGATTTGCGTGTGGTCATATTATAATTTTGCCGAGCAAAATCATTTGACGATGGTATTTTTGTTCACTTAATTTCTAAGAATCATTTGTTCTCTTTCTTAATTTTCATTTAACATAGAATTTTAAATATTGTCCCAATCTATTCATTTTTTTGTAGGATCAATAAAAGTTTCAAACATTTATGATGCCACAAAGATGATATTCTCAAGTGATGTTCCCGAGATTGTTGATTTCAAAACAAAGGTATTTGTCATGATTTCTAATTAAATATTTGTTATTATTAAAATATTGTATTTGCAATATTAATTTTTTATTTTTGTTTTAAATATTAGGTACAATTTATACCCAAGGCCAAGTAAACCTTCAATCACATATGTTAGGTCATTCATGTCTAACATATGTGATGATTTAGCATTCAGAAATGCTCCTATCAAATGTGTTGCGGACTTTTACGCGTCTGAAGAGGTATCAATTTTAAATTAATATTTTCTATTTTATTAAATATCAATTTTTATTAATTATTTGCTGAATTTTATGGATGTATATTTATTTTATCATATTTTATCATTCCAGGATAAAATTTTTTGGATTTATGGCACAATTGTTGATATTTGGGGAGATTGGTATTTCAATTCTTGCCCAAAGATAGATTTTGGTGTAACCATTGCCAAGACTACATCCCCTTTGCAATACTAAGGTACATATGGTTTATATTTTTTACTAAATCATTTATTTATTTTTTTATTTTTATTATTTTTTTATTTATAGGTACAAACTACATATTTCGGTTGGTGACACACCAGAATAGTGCGTCTTTTGTGCTGGGATAAAGTTGCTCGAGAGTTGGTTGGAAAACCATGTGATGACGTTCTCAGTGAAATGCTTAAGGCATGTGTTTTTTTTTTAATTTTAATTATTTTTCAGATTTTTATGCTTATAAGATGAACTACTACAATGTAATACCAAATTATCATGCAGCATTTTGATGGATCAGAGCTGCCAATTGAACTTGAGCTTGTGAAGGACAAAGTTCTACTGTTTAAGGTTTCAAAGAAAAAGGATCGTTTCGGATCATTCAATGGTCCATATACGGTTTCTCGACTAACCGCCGATCCTGTTTTACTCAGCTGATTTGGTGCAATGGCCAACAGTGGAATGATTATTTTTATATTATTTAATATTTTCTGCAGCACACTATATTTTTTTAATATAAATTCTGAATTTCTTTTATAAATATGTAGGAATCTGCGGGTCAATTTAACAGCCCCAGCCCCAAAAAGGCTGTTTCTGCTGGGAAGAAAAAACTGGAAAAAGAGTTGAAAATGCATTATTTGAAGATGGATCGAGTTGCTCAATGAGCCAAAGGAGAAGAAAAGTAAAACTGAAGAAATGCCCAGGCCCAACAAGGTTGTTTCTGGCTGGGAAGAAAAAAGAGGAAAAAAAGTTGAAAAGTCATTATTTGAAGATGGATCGAGTTGCTCAAATGAGCCAAAGGAGAAGAAAATTAAAAATGAAGAAATGTAGAATGCTGGAAGCTTTTGCTGTTATTTATTTTCAATGCTTTGGTTTAAGTATGTTTTACTAATATTTTTTTAGGAATCTACTTGGAACAAGAATGTTCGACCTATGAATAAAACCATTTTTAGTTACATGTCTTTAATCTATATATTTTCTATTCTGTATTTTTTTATTCAATCTTTTTTTAATAGAAAAAAAAAGCACAAAAAATAACTAAAAACCAGTCAAGTAGTTAATTCAAAAGAACAAATAACAACTAAAACAACAAAAAATGACAACATTTTAGACCAATATAGAATATAGATTAAAGATAACTAAAAAACCAACCCATTACTTAATTCAAAAGGACAAATAACAACTAAAACAACCAAAA